ACATACACTAAACGTGTTCTAACCAACGGAGCCTATTGAGTTGTCTCTAAGCTCATTGTTATTGCATATTGTGAAGTGCATTGTGAAATATTCCAGGCAAATGGGTTTAGTCTTTCTCGTTACATCTCCACGTCATGAGGAACACTGATCTACAGATACGATGACGTAATTAATTTTTTGCTTTTTCAGTGAAGTGAATTTATACTTCTTTTGTAGACATGCATCAAGATGGCAATGGGAACTATCACTACTATTACTGTGGAATTGTTGCAAGTATTTGTAGAAATTTTCGGGGAATATACCGTAAAATCATTGCTCCTCATGTTCAATGTTCTTCAGTTAGAGGCAGAGGGTAATTTCCCGTATGAGCCTCATCACCACAGACTCGACGATCTCATTCATGATAGATCTGNTCTGCATACCACATTGTTCGCAGGACGCTGTCGAGCTTCCTCTTGAACATCTTATAATTGACTTCGTCCACCACGTTAGCTGGAAGGGAGTTCCAAAGGTTGGTTACCTTTCGCGATAGCCGGAACCGAAGAGGTAATCCTACGGACGAAAGCTTCAACAGCGTAAGTCCATGTCTACGAGTCTTGGTCTGCTCGCGCAGAGGGAAATACTCCATCAACTCTGGACCCATGTCACCGCGAAGAATGCGTCGCACACAGACGATATCACCCCGTACTCGGCGATGGTGCATTTTACTTGTCTTTATGCATTGGGAAACTGCAATTCAGTATACTCCCCGGATATACAAAAGCCATTTATACCCATCATCCAAAATCTCAGCATTGCCAACTGAACTCAGTAGTTTATAAAAAAAAATCGTATATTCATGACTTTCAACTACTCTTGGGGGAATTCCGGACTGATCGGTCACAATTGGGCAAATTAACAGATTTACGGTGCTTCATCAACTGGTCGAAACAGCACTGTAAAACATTCTCTGATCAGCCAGGCAATAAACCAATCAAGACAATCTTATTTGGTGTCGTGTTTTTTCATTTCTCAATGGGTTATCTAAAACTAACTCAAGTGCGTGTTTTTGAATTCGAAATACCGCTATCCTTTTCGCCTAAAGGAGAAATGTAGTAGAAACGGAAAGAATTTTGCTTATGACAAACCATATTGTTGTCACATTATGTGAGAAAAACGCTTAACCACACTCATTATTCATCCAATAAGCAAAGTAATCACTGTTTCGTTGTTTCTCCAGGTGGCTCGGGACGAGGGGTTATTTAATCATAGCGGGGGTTAACCGCATTGCTGGAAACGAGGATGCTAACTGGACTGTGCTAAACGTGTAGTGGAATAAAATTTTCTTTTATCAGTGGTCAGTATTATTATCATTGTATTAGATTTCACAA